TTTGTTGTTAATTAACAATGGGTTTTGAGGTTTTTCTAAGTAAAAAAGGCAACATACAAGATGCTTTAGAATGCAAATAGATGTATATTTTTTTCTTTTCAGGAAAATATATTCACAACTTTGAGAAATTCAGATTTGCATATTTATGTTTAAAGGGCTAATTGTGTAATATAGACATATGCACACATAACACTCAAATATTGAGAATCCACTTTTGTTTATGTACTGTATTTAGTTATCTCCTTTTATTATACTGAGAAAAATGAAATCCTGGGAGTTTAGATGATACTCGGCTAGTCAATTTTTTAAGAATGTTTTTCTCCTCCCCATAAAAATAAAAGGGAAAGAGAAGAGAAGGTTATGAGGCAGGAACAGCAGGAGACATGGAGGAGCGGAAGACGCAGAAAAAACACTCAAGGGAACTTTGTCTACCCAACCTATTACAAACCCACAGCCATTAAGCCCGTAAAACAGAATAGACCTGCCTGGGCGGGTTTCTGAGATTCAGTCTTTCTCAGAGCTGTTGTTAGGTGCCACCACGTCCGCTCTGCTACACGCCGCAGAAGGAAACACTGCAGTGTCCTGCACTATCCTCACAATCATTCCTATGCCTGAACCCATGGATCCAGCCATTGTGGCAATCCGTCTCCTCCCTGATCCAGTGCCAACATGGCCTCGCTCTGCTCTGTATCCTGGTCTCAGTGTGTGGCACAACCTCTGCTGCGTCTGCCACTTTAGGCAGGATCCAGCAAGTGTTTCACATTTGGCTCTCCCCTTGATCCCAAGATCCCCCACTTTCGGAGTCTTATACTCCAGGAGTGACAAAGGTGAACAGACCTGCCACACTGTTACTGTTCTATACACTATTTACACGATCCCATCCTATCCCATAATTTTGTAGAAGTTACAAGGACGTGGCTAGAAGAACTGTATTTAAGCAAGTTCTCTTCACCACAGTCTATAGCTTAACTGCTGGTATAAATCTGTTCAAATTACATAGAGTATTTATTTATTTATAAATCATTTTATTGGGGGCTCATACATCTCCTATCACAATCTATACATACATCAATTGTATAAAGCACAATTGTACATTCATTCTCAAAACATTTGCTTTCCACGGTGATGCTTCTTTTTAAAAAAATCTATTCTGCCACTCTGTGGCTTTTCTTTTTTAGCACATTTATATATTCATTGCCCTTATAATTCTCAAAACATTTGCTCTCCACTTAAGCCCCTGGCATCAGCTCCTCATTTTCCCCTCCCTTCCCGCTCCCCCATGCACCCTTGATAATTTATAAATTATTATTTTGTCATATCTTGCCCTGTCTTACGTCTCCTTTCACCCACTTTTCTGTTGTCCACCCCCCAGGGAGGAGGTTATATGTAGATCCTTGTAATTGATTCCCCTTTTCCAACCCACCCTCCCTCCACCTTCCCAGTAACGTCACTCACACCAGTGGTCCTGAAGGGATCATCCACCCTGGATTCCCAGTTCCTATCTGTACCAGTGCATCCTCTGGTCTAGCTTGATTTGTAAGGTAGAATTGGGATCATGATAGTGGTGGTGGGGAGGAAGCATTTAGGAACTAGAGGAAAGTTGTATGTTTCATCATTGCTACATCCCATTACTGAAACCCAAATGAAGACTAAGCATGATAGTGGGACAAGAGGAAAGTCAAAGGAAATAGAGCAATGAGATGGAGGCAAAGGGCATTTATAGAGGTCTAAATAAAGGCATGTACATATGCAAATACATTTATATATGAGGATGGGGAAATAGATCTATGAGCATATATTTATAGGTTTAGTATTAAGGTAGCAGAGGGACATTGGGCCTCTACTCAAGTACTTCCTCAATGCAAGAATAGTTTGTTCTACTAAACTGGCATTCTGTGATGCTCACCTTCCCGACACAATTGATGAAGACAAAGCAGTTGAATAAGCAAATGTGGTAAAGAAAGCTGATGGTGCCCAGCTATCAAAAGATATAACATCTGGGGTCTTAAAGGCTTGAAGGTAAACAAGTGGCCATCTAGTTCAGAAGCGACAAAGCCCACATGGAAGGAGCACACCAGCCTGTGCAATCATGAGATGCTGAAGGGATCTGTTATCAGGCATCAAAGAACAAAAAATCATATCATTGTGAATGAGGTGGGGGGATGCGGAGTGGAGACCCAAAGCCCATTTTTAGGGCACTGGACATCCCCTTACAGAAGTGCCTTGGGGAGGAGATGAGCCAGTTAGATTATTTATTTTATAAGCACCAGGAGTAACTAGTGAAGTCTCACTCTTGGCTACTGATTTTAAGTCAAAAACTCTGCTACATAATTTTGAATAATACAAGATTAATTTAACTGCATAAAACCGGACCCAGTGCCATCAAGTTGACTCGGACTCAGAGTGACCCTAGAAAGAGCTTCTGAGACTGTAAATGTTTATGGGAGTGACAGCCTTTTCTTTCTACTGCAGAGTGACTGGTGGGTCCAAACTGGTGACCTTTTTGTTAGCAGCCTGATGCTTATGGCACCAAAGGCTTTTTCGTTAGCCACATATCCACCCTAAATTCCCAGTTTCTTCCCTAAAACCTCTTGGTAATGCTAAGACATTCTTGAGCACTGAAGATGAGTTGACCAGTGTCCATGCACACAGTCCAAAAGTTAAGTGTATTATTCCAATGTTATAGTAAGATCATCTCTGAGGAAAGCAAAGAGCCCCTAGTGCCATTTCAGGCCCTAAAATCATCATTTAAATAAAGAAATGAGAATAACTCTGGTGTGAAAGCCTGTACGAGCAGTGACAGTCTCACCTAATTCCAATCCTGCCAAACCAAGAGATTTATTACTATGCTAGAGTTATACTCCTACCTATTTAAGGATTACAGAGCCTTCAATACCACAGATTATGAATGAAGTTCCGTTTCATGTAAGCAGATGACCTTTGCTAAAGAGGATGGAAAAGATGCATGCACCTGAAACCTTATTTGGCTTTTACAGTTGATTTCTTTCTAAAAGTAGGCTTTTTAAAATGTGGCTAATAGTTTCAGAGAGAAAAAGCCCAACTCTCCATGGGTTTGTTCATCAATTGTTAAACATATTTATTTGTTATCTATAATGTGCCAATCATTTGAGCTAGATAATGGGGTACTAGAGGCATGCATATATAAGCCAACCAAATCCAATAATTTTCTTAATAAATGGTCACCAACTTTGAGCTCCCTTTTATGCATGTAAAAGTTGGACATGAATTTTAAAAAATTAATGAAAAATTGATTCGTTTGACTTGTGGCATTACCCAAGATATTGAATATATCATGGACAGCCAAAGAATAAACTTGGAAAAATAGAGCCATAGTGCTTCTTAGAATAGAAGGTAGACATCCTCTCACTTTCTACAGATGTGTTATCAATAGTGATCTGCCTTCGGAGAAGGATAGCATGCTTGGCAAAGAAAGACCTTTACAGAGATGGATTTACACAACAGCTGCAAAAATGGACTCAGCCATAGCAATTATTGTGAATGGTTGTGCACAAGCACTACAGAATCGGGCCATGTATGATTCTGTTGGCTGTGGCATCGGTCACTGTGAGGCACACTGACTCGATGGTGCCACACGACACCAACGTTCTCAGCTAGACCATACACTTGGTAGGCAGAACACAGAAGTGGTAAGAGTTACTGCCCACAAGGAATTTTTGGAAAAATAGACATGTAAAAAGTATTTAATAACATATGACATGTTTGGTTATGGGATTAAAGAGACTACTGTAATATGAGAGTGGGGGGGGAGGTTATGTAATCCACAGAGGGGTATCAAATTTCATTCACTGATTTTTGAGAATGGCTAGTTATCAACAGGGTCATAAAATATATATATTGGCCAGGTGATTAATGGGTGATAAGATGTATATTCCAAAAGAAAATGTAGCAATTTAAAAAACCAGAGGTATTTATTTAGTGACTACAAGCATTTTGTTATTGTTTAGCATTCCATTTGGAAGGAGAAGGGATAAAAAAAGAGACTTAGAAGTAGGCAGGAGACCTTATTATGAAGGAGTTTGTATGCCAGATGAAGAGAATTGGCATTAAAGGATCATGGTATGTCAGAGCTGTATTTAACAAGGGTCCTAATCATAGGTTGCTGAGTCAAATCCTCTCACCACTACTTACTAACTTCAGTGACCAGCCATAAATAACCCTTCTGAGCTTTGCTTGTGTAAAATTTAGATAAAAATAGACCCAAATGAATGTTGACATAGGCTAAAGATAATTCATCTATTTAGCCTAATACCTGGCACATCATTCATGTTCTCTAGGTATCCATCACTATTGTTATCCTCTAGGACATGGGAACTGAACAAAAAGTATGCGCGGGAATGGTGTGTTCACACTGGCAAAGGCAGATCCCAATAAATACTGTAAGGATGAAAGTGTGAAAGAACAAGAGACTCGTGAGGGTGATGTCCAGCAGGGATGCACAAGGACAGGGACTTGGCTGCAGTAGGAGATTCTAGTTACATGAGACAGTTTCACCTGTGATAGGGTCACATGAGCAAGTGGGGAGAGGCAGAGTTTCAAAGAGGCTAAAGGAACTCAAGCCAGAGCTGCATAATATCAACAATATATGACGGACGGGTTAACATAGCATAACGTAGTTCTGTTGTATCTTATAAATAATAAAATGATAAAATCTAAAATCAGGGAGCAGTAAAAAAGACGTCATCACAATCCTGGGGTAGACAGTGTTTCCGCAGGCTGTGTGAGCTTGAGTAGACACGGGTATGGCGGTGAATTAGCAGAACACAAGCTTGAAATGACACGAGGAGGATGAGATTCCCAGACTAGAGGAGAGGCGTCCTAAGGAAGAATGCAGAGGGAGCCAGCGCCTCGCCACACGCATTTCGTCAGCAAAATTACTCAGCAGCTTGATGAATAGAATACCACAGCTATGCTGTTGGAGAGCAACAGAAGTGACGCCTTTGCTTCCTTCCCTCCCTCAGGATTTTGCCGAGAAGGAGAAGGCCACAGCAAAGGCCCTGGAGGACGCGAAGGCCAACTTTTACTGTGAATTATGTGACAAACAGTATCACAAACACCAGGAGTTTGACAATCACATTAATTCTTACGATCATGCTCATAAGCAGGTAAGTCAAAAAGGCAAATAGCCTTCACATTCCTGGATTTATGTCCTCTTAGCAGAACTGCCTGAATTTGGCTTTATTTATTGTCATCAAAGACTCTGAGGTAAGACTATTTTATGTCCCCCCTCCTCCCCACTGAAGGCTGTGTTTTCTAGTTAAATGTTAAGTGAAAAGTTTTTTGTTTGGTTTTGTTTTCCCTTCAAGGACTGTAAGACTAGTGGTGACTTAAAGATGAATGAGCGTGGCCTTATTGAATTTAGAATCGCTTACACGAGCAGATCAGAACCCATGGAACCTAGTGTCCTCTCCAAAGGCGTCTCGCTAGTTAGTGGCAGAACTAGATCTTAGGAGTCATATTAGCATGGAGTTTATTACAATGTTCTTTCAAACTTTCCACTATGTGAGAAACAGTAGGGATTTAGGGAAACAATTCTCAGTTGAATACTGGCTACTGAGGAGAGTAAAAATCACCATTTAATAAAGAAAACATGGCAATACAAATTCAGAATGACAAAAATACAATAAAAATAAGGGAATCAGATGTCATCTACCTGTTCTTTTCCTTAAAAGGTCATATGTGTCCCTGTTGTCACATACTTGCTAATACTCTCCACTTTCATCTGTCTGGGAGCGTGGACTATCACTCTTGATGTGATACGATGGTATTGGTAATTTAGAGTATTAAGAACAAAAGACTGACACAGATACTTCATATGATCAGAGGATCATTGCTAACAACTAGCATTCCTTGTGCCAAATAGTTCTCAGATCTTGAAATCTATGGACAAGTGCTGTGAAAGAAGTGTTCAGAGCAAACAAAAGTAAACCTTTTTATTAACATCAGTTATACTTGCTGAATACACATTAAATATAAGGCTTTGGAATATGACAGACTGATAAAAATGCAGTTTCTATTTTAATGATAAGAATTGTATATAGAATTGGTTGTATTTCTCTGTTAAATGAGATAAAATGCCTTAGGGTTTGATTCCAGGTTCTCAGTGTGCATAATGATCACCTGAAAATTGTTAATGCAGATTCCTAAACTTTCCTTCAAATTTTCTACTTTCATCTGTGATGGGGGCAAGAGACCCTACTTTTTTAAATGATATAAAATGGAAATATTTAAACATACATGATCTTTTTTATGCAGCCATTACCAAGGCTGAGCTGCAATAAAATTTCTTTCTTTTCTACAAACTCCACTAAATCCAGCCACTATCATAAATAGACCTTTAAAGAAAATACCAGCTATCATAATTTCATCTAAAGTATGTTGAGATAAATAACATATCCACACTACCATCATCAAACCTAGCAATTAACGGTCATGCTTCGTGGCAGTCAGCAGTCTTGTTTCTCTAGTTGTCTAATAAATAATTTGGAAATCTCAATTTGTATAAATCTAAAAGCAGTCACACTTTTAATATACATAGATTTACTCTCTCCCTCTTTCATTTAACTCCATACAATGTCTTGATGAAGAAATTAGGTTGCTTGATCATACTTGATATTTTGCTTATGATAAACCCGGGTTACCTTGTGCCATTTGCCTTTTTCTTCTGTATTTTCTGCAATACTGGAGGCATAACTAGTTAAATTTGCTCCATACTGGCTCTGCAGAAGCTGACTTTCTTTTCCCACAGATGTACGTACCCCAAAGGGACAGTTATGCGCTATTCCACAGGGACACTGATTCATCAGTGACCCAATGTCAGTAAGTCAGTCCTGTATTTCCTTTAAACTGCAGGATAAAGCAAAGGGTTCATCAAATTTGGATTTTATTAATTGGTAAGAATATACTATAGAGTTTGCTGTGTCAGTTTATAATGAGACATACTCGTAGGATGTCTTTCTTCTCTCCTTGCGAGCCTAAGTTTCATCGATGGCTTCAGATACCCTTCGGATGAAAACATTTCCTTCAGCTTGACCCTCCCCCACGTCAGATGTGTATTTGTGTTTCACTGCCCAGGAGAAAGGCATTTGACTATGTGGATTATAATCAACTGTGGGTAACAGTGAGAAGAATACTTCATTGTGCCCTGTACAATGTGCACATGGACCAAGCAGTCCTTTAAACCAAACAAGGAAATACTGCATGACTTAAACCAGGAAGAGCATCCATCTGGATTGTATCCTCTCACCATATTAATTCAGCGTATATACTGTCCAAACGATCTAAGGGACCACATTACTTGACGAGCACACATCAGGATTTGGGGAAGGCCAATGGGCACTATGCAATATGCAGGTGGCACCACCTTGCTTGTCTGATGCAGATTATAGATTGCAGCCTTCAATATGGATTCTAATTCAGTGTAAAGAAAACAGAAATTCTCACAACTGAACCCACCCATGGGTGACATCATGATAAATAGAGAAAAAACAAAGTGTCAGGTTTTATCTTGCTTCGAGTTCCACTTCATTGTGCTCATGAGGCCAGAGAGGCAGTCCTTTGGAAAAGAACAGCAGAACGCTCTGTGGTTGAAAATCAGGACAGGTCTGTGCCCGGTTGTAGCTGCCATGCACACTTACTCAGTTTGTAAGTGAACAACTAGCGAGAGCAAGCGGCCAACATGAGGACAAACGTGCCATCAGGGTTGGAGGAGGGTTCACTAACAACCTGGAGTATGGAGATGCCACAACCCCTCTTGCTGAACGTCAGGAGGACTTGACGTACTTACTGATGAAGGACAAAGACCACGGCCTTCTCTCTGTGTAAAGAAAACCAAAATTCTAGGAATTGAGGGAATACACAACTTCATGATAAAATAAAATATTGACATTGCCAGTGAGTTTATTTATTTGGGGGAGTCACAATCAAGGTTCTGGCAGGGCCAATCAAACAATCAAGAGACATACTGTGGTGTGCTGACCAAAGGCGTGGGCTTGCCATTTGCATCGTATGCTGGACAGTGACCAGGGAGAAGAGGAAAACTGATGTGCTGGAATTAAGTGGTTGGCAAAAACGAAATCTAGCTGGAGGAAGTACAACTAGTGTGTTCCTTAGAATCAAGGATGGCAAGAATGCATCTCATGGAATTTGGGCAGATAGGAGAAGCAGTCCCTGGAAAAGGACATGATGTTTGGTAAAGTGCATAGTCGGTGGCAAAGAGGGAGACAATCACACCAAATAGATGGACACATGGACTGTAGCAATTGGGTCATCGAGTACAACAGCAGCTGTGATGTTTGTAGCCAGGGAGAGTCACTTGTTTAAACCCTTGCTTTATTTGGATTTTCACAGTGAGGCTGTTCTCATTCTACCTGTTGATTATCATTCATCTATTCGGTGGCACATGTCTGTCGGGAGAAAATTCCCATAAATACTATCTCTCACTGCACTTATGCAGATGGTCTTCACGCTACATATCGTGAAAAATTACTCTGGGATTTAAAAGAAACACTTTACCAAGAAAGGGCTCTGGGATCTCCTGATGGGTGACACTGGAACAATGTCTATTTCTGCTCTAAACATGCAGACGCAGGTGTTGGACTATTCCGTTTAGAAGGTTCTTCTCGACAAGGTAAAGATACCACTGTAAGGTGGGGACATTAGCAGAGTTTAAGACACTTGTGAGAACTCTATCAGGGCACCCATTATCTCCACGTGAGCCGTATGACTCGGTGTTCCTGTGCTCTGGAATTATAGCCGATAATTGTATCCAGTATCGCGTTCTTCAGTCATATCCCCATTAGCTTTCCAAGGTTTTCCCTCACAATACTCTAAATCTTGAACCCAAACGATCCTGAGGTAACCGTTTAGCTTCCTTACAAATGGACTCATAATGACTGTCACCTATGACTACTGAGCACCTTTAAAATCCCCATTGATACGAGACCAAAGAGCCAAAAATTACTCTGAAGGAAGTGTGTAAGGAGAGAGGAAACTAGATTAATGGAATTGGGAACTTTCAGAATACAGAGGATGTTTACACCTTGTGAAAAAATGTAATCAGTGTCATTGAACATTTTGAATATTAACTTCAGAAAACTTGATTTTCTTTGTGAAACTTCATATTAATAGAGTAAATTATGTTTTAAATTACTTCACCAGGTAATCAAGAGTGCTAGCCACAGTGCTAATGAGAAAGTATGGTTGCTCCGTCCAGAGAGGATTTACTCATGCGCCGGCATTGACTCCTCAGGGAGCGCTTTCAAAACGGAGTCTTTCCTGTTCCTCTTTTCTGCTCCTGTCCTGGTTTTTTTTTAAATGTATTTTGCCCTTACATTTTGTTTTATTACTTCCACCATTAAAACTCCATGCCTCCAGTAATTTCTGTGTTCCCAGCTCATGATGCGTAGACTATAATGAACCTTTTTGGACTTCAACGGCTGATGGCTGACTTCACATTTTTTCTGAACTGTTTGGCTTGTCATTCAAGTCCTTCACAGTCTGGCATTCGCTTCAGTTTCTAGATTTACCTCCTGCAACTCCAGGATTCCTGTACAGTTTCTCAAAGCATGCCTTATGTTTCCCCAACTGCTCATCTTGGCTCATAATCTTCCCTCTGCCTGGGATGCCCTCCCATCTTGTTTACCTTGTTCTTGTGCATATTTAATGTGTACATTAACATCTTATATTATCAGATTAAAGTGGCTGAGATATGACAAGCTGATTTAACACAGCATTTTCCATATTCAATTTTTTCAGAAGCTATTGATACTGAGTCAAATTGTATAGATGCTGTCCACTTTGGGACACACTAAAGTAATTAAAATTTGTGTGTGCCGTGTAAGAATGATTTCTGGGACAACATTGAAATATTTTAGGCTGAAGACCTATTTATTTTGATAATCCTTCTGTTTTACATAAAACAGTTTTTAAATTGTCACTTTAAATGAAATGGTAATGTATGTTCAGAAAAAGAATGTCTATGTGAAAGAGAAGTATGCAGAATCCTCTAACTTTAAGTCCATTGGGTTCTTGCCTTAGGAAGACTTCTTGAATGTGAGGATGACTCATCTCAGAGTATATGTGGGCCTTACTAATAGGAACATTT